AAGTTAAAATTTTTAAATAAATTTTAAATCTAAACGTAGAAAATGAATTTTTAATTTTGGAATAAATTAGTTTAACCTGCCGTATAATTATTTATTAGTGTATTACTACTAGTWAYACTGAAATAAATATGYTATAAAATATTCTTTAAACTTAAAGGTAACATTATTATGGAGAGCTTCTCATAGGCTTTTTATTATATTTTAATTTTAAAGCGAGTTATGAGTATTTTAAGATATACAAACAATTTATAATTTTAAAATACTCATAACTCGCTTTAAAATTAAAATACAATAAAAAGTCTATGAGAAGCTCTCCATAATAATGTTAACTTTAATTTTTATGAGAGGTCAACTAATTTTAAATTTTAAACTAACAGAGCTAGCTTAAAATCCTAATCTTAAGTGCCTCCAATGGGCGGCTTCTTATCTCCAGCCACTCAATCCATGTCACCTCCATCACATGCACTTATTGTAAAACAACATTTACAGATTGTGTATATTTAAACGATAAAAAAAAAAAACTAACAGAGCTAAACGTGATTTTCTGAGCCTAAAATTTGTTATGTTATGCACTTGTAAGACGGAGACGGAGACAACACATACGAGTTTCGGAGTGTAGCGTCTTCTTAAATTCAAATTTAATACCTACTCAACCACGAGGTATCATCGACATTGTATACAATGCAGCCGATTATCTTCACCGATTTTTTCTATACATTTATCATTTAAATGTACTTATCATTTAATTTTAATAAAAATTAAAGTTCATCATATGTATGCATAGAACTTCTGTAAATATTGCTAAGTAATATTATACTATCATAATTATTTTCACAATTTATATTTTAAACTTAAGATATTTGTGAATAGAATTTTAATAATAAAAGTGGATAAAATAAGTTATGTTATAATTTTTATTGAGTGTTTAAGATGTTTAGCAGGTGAAKCATTTAATTTAAATAACTATATCTAACTGAACAATATGTTTCAATGACTTTTAATCTGTAACAGGTGAAAGTATTACAGTCTATGTTTAACCACTATTATAACCTTTAAAATTAATAAAATGTTTTCAAATTTATTCTTAAATACATTTATTTACGGTTCAGTTGTTTTAATCTTTAAACCAATATTTTTATTCAAATATTTGTTCTTTTTATAAACTTAAGCTTTAGTAGGTATATTTATTTACTTAGCACTA